AACTAATAGGAGTGAGTGCTATTATTTTCTTTTTTGTCAAACGATATATTAGATTAGCTACTGACGGGTTCAAGCCCGTGCCGTCATGTAAGAGCTCAACTCCTTTCCACCACTGTGGTAAATGACCACTTGCGAGTGAGTACTATTGTTGAGTGTTACATACAAATCTTCCTATAGAAAAATGGGCCCAAGAGAAAATAGAAAATAAATGTACTATGATAAGGTACCAAAATTATTAAAAATGAATGCATCAATGCCGCTACAATAATGTTATAGTAATCAAACTCAAACATTGTTTAAATAAATAAATCTATTAGAATTATAAGTTTTGTATCTTCCTTACTCCTAGTTAAATTTGGACTTTGAATTTCTTGGGCCTAATAGGTTATGAGTTTTGGGCTGCAGTGGAACGAGGCCCAGTCTACCTTTCCCATTTTCCTTCAATGTTTGGGAATTCCACGCCAATTAGGATTCGGACTGCAATAATCTGCAACCTATAAAATGTCCCTCCCTGCCCGTATACCTTAGCAATTCGCAGAGACCAGACCATTCAGCTCTTCTCTCTTCCCATGCAAGCAAACATGAAGGACGTAGGCGATAGTTTTATCCTTCTTCAACTAAACCAATAATTCAGCTCTTCTCTCTTCCCATGTAATAATCATCTTGCAACTTTTATCCTTCTTCAACTTCATGCATGCAAAGGACGTAGGCGAATCACGTACCGGCAAACCGGCACGTTCGGCTATAACCTTCTCCGACGAGGACTTAATACGACCCATCGAAGTCCCCCACAACGACGAACTTGTCGTCCAGATGTTGGTGGCAAACACCAGAGTGGATAAGATACTGATCGACACCGGCGCTTCAGTCAACATTATTTTCCTTTCCGTTCTAAAGCGGATGGGGCTCAGCGAGAGAGACATTGTTCAATGCCGCCGAGCAAACAATATCGTGGCCGCGTTCGGGGCAAATGCCACACCTCTGGGGATCATAACTCTCCCGGTCACTGCTGGGATTGCGCCCAAATCCAGCACTGTGATGGCGGATTTTTCCGTGCTGGATGATTCTTTTTGTTTAGGTTACAACATCATATTTGGAATTCCGGGGTTAAACGCCCTAAGGGCAGTACCGTCAACTTACCACCTCCTCCTCCGCTTCCCAACGGAAGCCGGAATAGGGCAAGTCAGAGGGGATCAGCTGCAAGCTAGAGAGTACTATAAGCCCCGGCGCCAGCTGGAGCAAGTGAGGAGGCAGGAGACTCAGAACGATGCACGGGCGTCTGTAACTCTTTTAGGTTTGATTATTTTACTGTCAATTTTGCTGCGGTTTTGAAGAAAGTTGCAACAGGGACTCCTATCTCCAAGGAACCAACAATTTTCTAACGACTATTTGGTCTAGTAATGTATGGTTTTCCACTTATATGTGTTGACTCACCCAAATTGTATGAACGAGACTAGATAAATTTTTTATTAAACACTCATTTTCTTCAAAAATTCATTAATTGTACAGTAACTGTGTATCCAATTCCCTTCTTTCAAGATCCATAAGATGTGTGAATTTTTTTCTGGTTATATTGCCAACAACAATTGGAAAGCTGCTAATATTCAAAGAATAATACTTGCATCCCTCACTTAGGAGAACAACTTACATGACATGTGTTCATCGCTATAGTGATGTTTCATAGCAATGAAATAAAGACATATGAACAAAAACTTTCACATGCTTTCAATTCATTGACATGCGACACCGCCGTGTGGGTCAATTCGTGCCATGTAACTTCTTCTCCTCATTCGGAGATGAGCTGATTCCGTTTTGACATGGACCAATCCTCTCTTGCCACATGTTCACGCTCAAACTCCTAAACCATGTGTCGAGAGATGATTGATCTATATGAAATAGGAGAATGAGTTCATCTCTCCAAGGGGTGAGATTGTCCTATGTTCTTGGAATATGGGTCGACCGCTTGTATTGTAACACGTGGTGCACCGATCCGTATTTCAAATGCACAGAAAAATCTCTCCTCTAGATGAGGGATACAAGTATGTTCAACTTCTTAGTTCATTTAAAATGTTCACATATCGATGGCAAATACTGTGCACAACTCTGTAACATATAAAAACACAAAAAGCCCGGTAGGAAATAAATCGAAGGAACAAGGCCTATGGGCTGTTTTGACAAATTTTAAATGTACCAGAACCGGTAAGAAATATATGAATAAAATTTAGAGAATTTTAACGAAAAATTTTTAGTACTAATCATTTTAACAAAAAATCAAATTTTTACATTAAAAATCAATCTTGGTATTATTCATTTTACCCCTTATTTTATCTTTACGTTAAAACTTAAAATTTTCAAATCATTTTTATTATTTTTTCTTAAATTTATTCCCTCATGCGGGTCTTTACTTTATCCTGCATGTATCAAAACGCCCTATATGTGCGGCCTCGTTCTGTCGGATTTCTATCATGAACCGGAGCCCTACACACGGCTGGCCTGTGCCAAAGTTTAGGGCTTCCTCGCGTTGTGAGTCATTTATAAAGCACACTAATGGTAGTGTCCCGTCACACTGTAGGCTGCCGCTTGTCAGAGGAACCCTGAGAGCCAAATTTTCCTCCATTCTTCAAAACAGCAGTCTTGACGAAGGGTGTGAAAAAAGCCTTCGACTTTCCTTCGACTTTATTGTAATTTTTCTCATGATAAATATTTAACTGCAACCATGGTTATGAAACTTTGCTCCTATTAATTAGTTTTATGTGTGTGTATATAAAATATTTGTGTTTTCTCATGGAAGAATGCATATATTTCACTTCTTTCGAATGACGTATATATTAAGATCGAGATAGAGTTTAATTGCTATATTAATCAATATAATTCATGCAACTAAATCATGAAATGAATTAGAAAAACCTGAAAATTGTGAGAGGCAAATGTTAAACATTTTGTCCTTAAGCCAAGTTTACACCTCACTATGGTGCTCATGATTGATTAGCTATTGTCTCTCTCTTAGGATACAACGATCATATTCTTGTAATAGTAGCACCAAATCACAAGGCTTCAGTGAACCATAATTTTGTTGAATACTCTCTCAGGTGGACTCAACGAGACATTCTAATATTTAGTGCACTCTATGTATGATTATGTAAATATGAAAGTCTATTGGGAAAACATGTGACTATTAATGAAGAGTCAAAACTGTAACTCTTCATTTGAATTTCATGTTTAGAGAGACGCATCTTTCCATCAAAATACACCACTACTAATTTTCATTCAATTAATAAATCTAATTTTATAAGAACCCCAATAATAAATATCAACATATATCACGCCTCTTATTGTGATTCAATCATGGCTCTGTCCCTGGAGGGAGAGGTTAGACGTCTTTTATCGTTGTCAAAAGAAATACCTGATTCATGGCTCTGTCATTAATTTGATTTATTTCTATTTGATTAAGTTTTTCTTTTCCTCTAGACATATGGTTTCTTTTTTTGTTTAATCTTCGGTGTTTTTCATTCAAGAAGCATGTGATCATGTCGAACTCTAAGCGTTCTGGAGAAAGAGATGGCATATCCTTTTCCGATGAGGATCTAAAGGGACTTGAAGTCCCCCACAACGATCCACTCGTTGTTTCCATGACGGTGGCAAACACTAAACTGGACAAGATCTTTGTCACCAGTGGCTTTAAGCTCAATCTTCTCTACATTTCCACTCTGGAGCAGAAGTTGGGACTCACCCGGAACCTGTCTAAACAAGCTTATGCGGGCAACTATGGCGAAAAGCTCGAACCTATTGGGACAATCACCCTCCCTATCACAGCTGGTGACAGCCCCAGAGACCGCACGGTCATGGTTGAATTTATGGTGATGGACAATCTTTATGCGTACGACATCTTTGGATGCGGAGGGTTGGCTGCGCTGCAAGCGTTAGCTTCAACATATCATCAAGTCATGCGCTTCCCTACTAAAGCCGGACTTGGATAGTGCAAAGGAGACCAGAAGAAAGCTAGAGAGTGTGAGAAAGCTCTCCTGGAACTGCTGCCGCGCAGGGCCTAGAACCGCTCAAACCAAGTGAAGGCTAGCTAGTCACTCTAAGGTTGCTTGGGTAGAAAGAAACTAGCTAGCTTCTTTTGAAAGACAGTTCGAAATTTGGATCTTCTGTTATGTGCTCAGCTTTGTTTAGTGGATGTTATGGTATTCTGTGAACCCCTAAACTAGTTTTCTGTGCTGGCCTTCTGTGCCACATGATGTTCTGTGAACCCTAATTTAGTGTCTATATGGCATGATGCGATCCATGCATTTAACCTCATTTTCTTTGAATCGCTTTGGTATAGCCACCCTCAACATCGATGGATGGAGTAATGCTTCATCTTCAATTCTTCATCATCATGAAGCATTTCTACTGCCCATACTCGTTTCCTAGAGCAAATGTGCTCCCCTATTTTGCCTAACTAGCGTCATTTTTTTCTAAATGTATTATGGTTTCAAGTTTGAACTAATTACTATCTGATTTAACAAAAATAAAAAGGATATGATGATCGAAAATGACATAAATTAGTTGTTCCATAAAAAATAACATGTGAGTACGAGTACGCGATAGTTTCATTTGGCTTTTTGTGTATGTTTTCACATTTGAACTTTTGAATTGTTAGGAATGGATTTTGAAATTTTCAAAAAGATATGTAACGAAATTGGAAAAGAGAATTTCATTATGCAATTTTTTATATTGAAAATAGAATATTGATTTCAATCTAATCCAAAAATTAGACCTTCTCATAGAAAGTAATTTTATGAATGGTTTTACCGTCACCGTAATGTTTCGATCCAATAATGAGTTGAACGCTATGCAACGTGGCAATGAAACCTGCTCGATGTATCAACTATCCTAGTGGGACCCACTAACTGTTCGTGTATCAATTTTAAACCTTCGGCCCATTAGATGGACTAGATGTCCCATATATCTGGCCCAAACCAAAACAGATTAGGAAACTTGAAAAAAAAAAAAGAAAATCACAAGGCGGTGCTTTGCCTATTTGATATCGGTAACTCTGGCTTTTGCATAAAAGCCTCCCGAATCAGTGAAATTCTTACACAGCAGCACACACGCAATCGAATCCTTAGACAACAATCGATGGGCGACAGCTTCAGAGTTCGCGCGGACAAGGTTTTTGGATCGATCCCTTCGTCGACCTCGTCGTTCCCGAAAGTACAGCAATCCTCGCCCTGGTCCGTTACCGGCGACGCGGTGGAGCGCAGAGAATGGAAGCGGGGCAAGGACGCCGGTACCTCATCCAACAGAGACCAAACGCCGTGCTCGTCGTCGTTTCTGGAGGACGAATGGGGGATCAAAGCATCGATCGGCAAGGACCCCACTCTGGATTTCGAGGTAAATATTTTTATTTTCCAGATAATTCGTTAGAAATTAAGCTAGAAGAAGAAGAAGTAATTGTCACACATTTACACGCATTGTTCATGTGAATTGATAACCCCAATTGAATTCATAGGAATTTTAGTACTTATTGTGTTCTAATTAGAATTATAAGCTGAAATTTTAGTACTTTTTTTGACTGATTTGAAGAAGAATTAATGTTTGCTTACAAATACTCGATCTTGGTCCCAATTGGCACAATAAGTCGAAATTTTAGTACTTTTTCGGCTAATTGATTCAAGAAACTATCCAATTTATGTTCTTTAGTTGTAAAGTTAACTTGTTGCTGTTGGTTATAGTAAAGACTGAATCGTTGATATTAATTATTATGGTCATCTAATTTGTTTCCCATTGGGTGCAGGAAGAGGAAGATGAATATGACAAAGTGGCGGCGGGAACAGAAGGCGTTAGCGAGCGTTTGTACATGGATGAGATTGCCAATCATGGGCCCTTTTTAAATTCTCAAAATGTGCTTCATGGTAGCAGCAAAGATCCGCGTGCCAATTTCCTGGCTGCTAAACTTCGGCTGAAAGAAGATGATGCTGAAGCTCGAAAGTCAAATTCTACCCTGGCTACTGCTTTACCAGTCAAGAAACAGACTGTAGAATCACCTGAAGACGGTGGCCGGCCAAAGTCTATATTGAAAAGGAAAGGCCATACCTCAGATACGAAGGTGCAGAAACGTGTCAGGTTTGATCCTGCTTTTGTAGCTCATAGTCATTCTAAAGAAGCAGAAGTTCAGTCTGATGTGAATGGAATGGTTTCAGGTCCAAGCCCTTTCTCTATGAAAGCAAAAAGTAAGCGCCCAAAATACCGTGGGGTACCTGATTATTTGGTGAATCCTTCAAAGTATACATGTTATAGCTTCGATACAACAGCCAAAGTCGATGAAGTTGCCAACGCCCAGGCTTGTACAGAGTACCTTACTCCGGATGAGAGTTCAAATTCAGAGTCAAGGTCAGAGACAGAGGATTCTTCACCTAAACTTCCCGTGTCTGTGACCTTTAGTTCGAAGAAGAAGAGAGGAGATGACAATGCAGTTAATGATAGCAACAGAATGAAGCTAGACAAGGAAGATGACAAAACGGAGTCCTTAAAACGAGCAGGCATCCCCGTTGGCATTGCAGCCGTTGAAGTCCAAAGTGATGTTAATGCGGTTGAGGAAGAAGGTTCGCAACCAAGCGCACCAGTTGCAAGTGCTTGTGTACAGAAATCTGGTCGGAAGTATCGGAAAAAAACAGTATCCGATGAGTCTGATTCTTGATGTGCTGGATTTTTCGTCCTCTCATACTTGAAACCACGCAATCATGTAGCCTCACGACTTAAGCTTCGCGGAATGATGGGTTATCCGACTGGTGTTATGAATGTGTAAGAATTTGGTTCGTTTGATGTTTTTTCATTTTTTTTTTTTCAAATATAAATGTCACTGCGTTGGTGTCTGTTGCTTCGTCACTGATTTCAGTTCAAATCAAACCTTACATCCAAATTCTGTAAGATTTTTTTCGTGTGCTGTTTGCATATGCAGGTGATGTGCATATTGGTATGAAGTGGAAGAAATTTGGATGGAAAATTCATCTCGTATTGAGATTGGTAACGGGCGGAATATAACCACAAGGCATTATTGAGAGTTTATTCCTTTGATAGGAAAATATCATAAGAGCTGGACATTTATATGAAAGAAAAACATTAAACCTTAAAACATTGTGCTAACTCCTTTGAAATTTCTAAACCCTTGTGTGTATGGACCCTATGAAATATAAATGGGGAAAAAATGCCACAAAGTGACACACCAAAAATAAAAATAGGAGAAAATTAAAAGAAAATGTAGAATGACAGGTGTAAATGCTCTACTGGACGCCGCCATCCCACCATATAAATTTTTCCACCATTTTCTCAGCCTCCGCTAACATCTATGGGGGTTTCTTGAAGAGGACTTCTCTCTCTATATACACTGATTTCTGCGCTACAATTTCTCGGCGATTCGCATGAATGCATCTGCAAGCTTGTTAAGAACAGCAACCACGTTATCGGAATGCTCTTTCCTCTGCTCCCGGTCGAGTTGAGAATGGGAATTCTGAGCGTGGAGGTAGTCAGCCAGCACTTTGCTATTCCTTTCCATGACATCAACCAACTGATTCTGCAGATCGGATGCTTCCTCCTCTCCTTCCGTTGCAAAACGCTTCCGCTTCCGGTCTTGAGAGGTAGATCCAAACTCTGGGATTGAAGCTGGGTGTTTTGGGTCTGCTGCACCTGTAGACAATAGAAATCAGTGACCACGTATAAAGAGTTACTGCCTACAAATCGTCCAACTCAAACATTAGGCAAAAAAATTGATCTTGCTTAAACTTTGATCCGTTCCCGTTTAAAAATGCATTAACCCTTAAGTTCGGCAGACATATTTACCAATGTTAATTAAACTAAGTCCTTGTTCAACCAATCGTCTCAACTAAATTCAAAGGGGGCGATAAACTGTATCCCTGGCACAATAAACTAACAGGTTCTTGATGGTAAGCTTAAACGAGAACATATACAACAGAAAGTAAAAGAAAAGCTACAAAGCAGACGGGGACAGAATAACTATGCATTTCACATTTTCACCCTTCAAGTTTGAAGAATCTTGTCGAGCATGTTCACCACACAAACAAGAAATTGTGATGGGCCAAGTTGACACAGCAAATCGGCAAAACATCAAATCGGCAGTACATGTACATTACATCTCGGATTTAATCCATAGAGGATGTTTAAGCAGTCATTCACAACGGTAAATAAGGAGAAGCTGGACAAGGCTAGAAAGGAGATGAATCCTACTCGGACAAAAGCTAACGAAATTTCTTAAGTAGTTTTCAGTCAGATGAGAAGATTCTTTCATTTTCAACCTGGACATGTTCATGAAATTAACTCCCGACACGAATTTTTGTTTGCAGCTCAAGTATTAGTTTCTTTTTCACGGTAACAAAGAGTAGTACAAGAAAGGGTTGAGGCAAACAGAATTACCTTGTCCTTGATGTCCTTGTGGCATTGGTTTGTACACCTTCTCTGTTAGCAATAACACACCAACAAAACAAGATTTGAAATATCAGTAACGCTGTCTGCCTAATACCCCAAGTAATTCTCAATAGCCAAAAACATTCATAAAAAGACAATCTCTTTGAATTTTTTTCACCCCACCCCACCCCACCACGAACTGTATCTAACTTTTAAGCATATCAGACATAATGGTCATGCTTCACCACTAAAATATCCATTTTTTTTCTTCAACCCAAGATATAAAGAGGCAGTGAATAAATCTAGAAAACAAAAACTGTTTCTTGATTCGTCCTTGATATCAATCTAACGGCTAGAAAACACGAGACGGGTGAATGGAAGAAAGAGAGAGTTCGAAAATGCAACAAAAACCCAAAGACATTAATCAAAACCCAACAAAAACGCAGCCAAAGGTACCAAATTTTGAAGCTTCCACCCCAAAAATCAAATCTTTTTATCCAAAAAGAGTCAAATTATATTTGAATATACCTGATATTGGCAAGGGAGCTGAAATCACCGGATCCTCCTTGAACCGGACTTCCTTTTCGGGGCTCCGACCGGACTCGTCATCCAAAAATAACCCGTCCTCAGTCGGTCTCTGTATGCTATCGAACAAGTTCTCAGCCTCCTCCGCCATCCCCTCCTCCTTCAACTCCTCGGACTCCACCCGGTTCGGACCCGGTAACGCCAGCGTAGTCGGAGTACCTGGAACCGCCTCCATTATATCGTAAACCTCCTTATCGAAAAACCCCGGCAGCTTCCTCTCTCTCCTTAGGTCGTTCCTCATCACCCAAAAGGACTCCGTTTCGTCCTTCCTCTGCGCCTCCCACTCCCTGATCTTCTTGAAGTCCCCCGCCAAATTGCTCCACCGCTTCCTGCACTGGACCGGCTCCCGGTTCACCCCGTGCTTCTTGCAGTAGTTCGACACCGCCGCCCATTTGGGCTCTGACTGACCCGACCCGAAGTCCGACCTCGGAGTCCGGCCCCCGCCCCGGCTCTCCGCGTACCGCTTACCGTTTATCAGCACGAGAATCTCCTGCCGCGTCCAGCGTGGCAGCCTCGGCGCCTTGCTGGAGTCGTCACCGGACGTGGGTTGGCGGGCGTCAGCGCCGTTAGCGTCGCCGTCAACGGGGCTCAGGACCACCTGCTGCTCCAAGGCCATGACCATAAATAACAAAAACGGATGAAAAATAAGAGAGAATATTTGAAACGCACGTGACTTGATGGCGCTTTACTTTGAAAGTAAACGGCGTTTTTCGGAGGCGAAAGGTCCCCCCCTAAACGGCGTTTAGAAGAGAGGAGAGGGGTGTTAAGCTTGCTCTTATCTCTCTCTACCTAAAACAATTAGGGGAGGAGAGGAGAGAGAGAGAGGGGGTTTGAGGGCTTTTTGGGTGGGTTATTATGGAGAGTGGCGGGGTTTATTTCTATAATTCTCTATTAATTAATGAAATTTTCATTGTCAACTAAAAGAGGGTGAAATAACTATTTAGTCTTCTATCACAAAAAAAAACGACGGGCAATAATGTAATTTCATAGATCCAAATTTTATTGTTTTTATTGAAGCCCTCACCTACAGGTGATGTTAAAATAGCTCCAATATTAAAAAAGAAACCTCCCACCCCCCCCCCCATGTTCTCTCTCTCTATCTTTCTCATTTTCTAAAAAAATGTGTTCATACACACAAAGTGTGTATGCAAATGCTAGTTATCTGATTATCTCGGTGTTTTTACTGCTTAATTATACAGATTAATTTGACCCTTAATCCCTTATTAAGGTTGTTTTTGGCTATAATTACCAATAAATGGGGATATGTTTTTTTTTCTTTAGTTTGTTACCATAACAAGGGTTAATTAACTTTTAATTCCCTGTCTTGGAATCTCTAAGGGCACTCTAGGCATTAGAACCACTCTAATAATCTAATCTAATCTAATCTCATTTGCATTAGGTCATTTTCCTTTGTGTATAATATGGTATGAAACGCGTTTTGGGGCCACCTTTTATCCTTTTTAGTTTTGTTTTATTGCCCTTTTTTTTTTTTTGTTTAATTTGTCCAAGTATTGAATATTTTTAGATATGTTTCTTAAACTTTTGGTCAAAGTTTTTAATATAAAACAAAAATCATGGGAATTTCATCTGGAGGAGGTTGAATATAAAGGCATGATAAACGCATATATTTTTTCTCTTACCACATATTTTGCTTAATTTTATTTGTTGTTTTTGTTTGAATTGTTAAATTTGAATGTCATAAATAAAGGGTATGTGAAAAACTAAAAAAAAAAAATGTAAAAATCGCACCCTATTTGTTGATTTGATTGGCACTTTGACACCCTCTACAGTTTGTCGTATTTTCACAAATTCTATCATACATAAATATCTATATTTTTTTTTGGTCAAATGATAAATTTGTTAAATTAGATGTTAGATTAGAAAGCCAACAATGTTTGAATTCATGATGGGGTGCAAATGCCACACTTCTCTCCACTACTTTGTAGAGGGCCACTTGCATATGTAAATATCTATATATAAAAATATGTATTTTGGGTTACAATTATAAACGCCTTTTTTTTTTTCATTTTTTTTTCTACCACACATTCAGGTTAATTTTGTTTGTTATTTTCATTTGAAATATTAAATTTGAATGTCATAAATAAAGAGTGTGTGGAAGATTTCAAAAAGTGTGAAAATCAACCCATGTTTTTGGCACGGATAATGCTAGAGAAACTAATTTTTTTCTATCAAATGATATGTCACCAATAAGAAACTAGCACGTTAATCGATACTTAAATAAGTATCCAATAATCTACAACCACATCATTTTGTTAAAAAAATTTGACTTCTCTAGCATTACCCATTTGATACAATGTTTTATATTATTGACATGAAAATTGACATTAAACTGTGAGGTGACATAGAATTTATGAAGAGTTATATTTTGAAAGCCTTAGCATTTCTTATTTTCATTGACACTTTGTACATTTTATCGTATTTACATCAATATATATAAGAAATATGTATTTTGGGTTACAATTATAAAGAAAGTGGCTAATGACAAATCCATGGTGTGGAATATAGAGGCTAAGAAGGTGATAAGGGCATCCTACCCTACCACTTAAGTAAAATTTTCTCCACCTCTCCTTTCGTTCTCAACCTCTCTTAGCGTCTTATCCCGTTGAATCATTTGCCCTAATCTTTACTTAGTCGCTAATGCTTATGATAATGGACGGCCCCTCCAACAATAAAGCCACTTTTTTTTTGTTATATGAAGTTTGGACAAAAAAATTATTGAGGGTAGGTCACTAATCACTGCCCCCTCCTACTACTAAAACATGCGTCACTTTCCCAAATCACGCCTCTCTCTAATCAGGTCATTTTATCTAATAATAATAATCTAGGATTAGTAATAATCATATTTGTGAGTAGAGATGGTTAGGACTTAGGAGGGTCATATTCTGCCTGTGATGTAGTGGGGACAAACTACAAAGGATGATCCCTATATGCCAAGGCCTGCCAATTTGTAGTACTATTCTTGTTGCACGCCTAGGGCTGCACTTGCATGGACTCATTCCCAGTTACTACATGGTCACTCTCACGACAAATTTCCATCCCAATCTATGATATTCTAATATGAGTAAATTGTAGCTATGATCCCTTAACTTTAACTCAATTGGAGCAATGGTCCTTCAACTAAAAATTCATTACCATTGGTCCCTTAACTCATCAAAACGTGCAGTTATGATCCCTCAACTAAAAATCCATTACCATTGATCCCTCAACTTAATTCAACTGGAGAAATGATCCATTAACTCTAACCCAATTGTAGCAATGGTCCTTCCAACATAACTCGTTTTGACAAAATTTTTGACGTAGTTGACGAAAATGACCATAATTACACACTTTGATAAGTTGAGAGATCCTAATTGTATAAATGGTCATTCCAACATAACTTATTTTGACGAAATTGATGAAAAGGACTATAGCTACACATTTTGATAAGTTGAGGGACCATTACTTCAATTTGATTAAAATTGAGGGACCATTGCTACAATTTACTCTTCTACTCTCTTATTTGGTGTCACTTGTATTTAGAAATTCTACAAAGTGATTGGAACACATTTACATGTATTATAATACGAGTGGCAATCCCTCTCCCCATTTTGCTAGCCTTTCTCCTTTATCTTCTCATGGATTGTTGTTGATCTATCATTTTATCTTCACATTTCGTCAATAAGTGCTTCATTGGTGAGGTTCTTTCTTTCTTCATTAGTATTTTAATCTTGTGTTGTGTGTTATCAGCTCATTCTAGGTACTTTGTTGGAATTGGTTATTCGTTGATGTTGTTGTGCAAAAATTCATGTCGGTATGAACACTAGTTAGTTTGTTGTCCATTCATATCTGGAGTTGGTGCTGCTTGTTGTCAAAGATTATGCTCCTGTCGTTATATTCAAGGTTTTGTGTAGAAATTCTCAGATGTTAATTCCCGAAGGGCTTGACCTTTTCATAAAGAATTGGGTTTCTCTAGCTTTGGAGTGTAACCTCAATCCTCTGAGTTTGAGTGTGGATGATTTTAAGACTTTGATGCGTTCATTTGCTTATTCTTGGACCTGCATCGCCTTTAAATCCACTGGGTGATAATTAGTTTGGTCAAGTTGGCATTTTAAGTTTTGTTAGAGTTTCTTTGAATTGAGGACATCTTTGATGTTATTTCGAATGTCCTCTTTGATTGTATTAATTCTTAGTATTAAATAAAACGTATCGTCTCAAAAGAAATGAATATTAAATTTCAGCTATACTAAAAAAAGATACTTTTATATCGTGAGTGAACTGTAACATTAAGTAACCATATATATGATTGTAACACCAAAAAATTTAAGAAAAACTAATGAAAAAGATTTCAAAACTTTAAATTTTAACAAAAAAACATTCAAATAACTTTATTTAATGATAAAGACAAAAAAAAAAAAATCAAATGCTATACTCCATGCACCACGTGCCACATGCCACTCACATACTCACGTGTGGGCCCATGTGGTCTATTTGTCCACGTATCTCACATGGGCCTGTGATTTTTTTTTTCTTCTTTTCGTTCCTTCGTCTCTCCATCTCTTTTTTCTTTATTTATTTCGTTCTCATATTCCACTCAGTGTGGATTTTCTCTTTCCTCTTATCTTTCTCTCTCTTTCTCTGGACAAAGTTGGATAGGACTTATGGGTCCATCCTTTAACTCTCTTACATTGTAAAAATTAAAATTACTATTCTCAAATTAAAATAAGCATTGACTTAAAAAAAAAAAAATCTTCATTTTTGGATTGTTATATTATTACATAGTTTGTATTATTTAACTCTGATGGCATGCCACAAACTCAAAAAATTTGTTCAAACTAACGTTAAAATCTTCAAAGTAAAATAAGCATTGTTTCTAAAACTAAAAAAATAGAAGAACTTTTTCATTTTTTTAATTGTAATATTATTAATTGGTTTGTCCAAATGATGCATAGTTGTATTACTTATACTCTTTTTCTTTTAAATTATCTCCTCACTCCCATCTCACCATTCCCAACCCTCTCTCTCTCTCTCTCTCTCTATATATATATATATAGCTTAAATTATTTTTCATGAAATACACTTCATTGTTTATTAATTTCTTAATAAAAGCATTATTTTGTCAATTATTTTTATTAAAATAGTGTCATTATTTTTAGAAATAGTGTGATTGTATATAAACAGTGACCATTATTTAAAAAAAAAGGTATCATGGTTTCTACAAATAGTGTCACTGTCTAGAAATAGTTGCCATTGTTTTAGAAATTTACTATTTTTAAGTAAACATAACTCTTAGTAATAAAATTTTATTAAGTGTTTTTATTAAAGATTTGTTAATAATAATTTTGTTAAATTTTGGTATGTAATAAATAATTCATATTATTATGTCTTAAAAAATATGACTAAATTTGAAGTTATACATAACAAAAAAATAAAAAGAAAGAGAGAGGAGGAAGGAGTGATGTGATAGAGAGAACAGAGAGATGATATTGATGGATGCAAAAGGAGAGAGATGATGGCAACGAGTGAGAGGAGAGAGAGATAATGGTGATGGCTAAAGAAAAAGAGGGGGACGGTGACGGAGGGTGGGAGAGAGAGAAGGGAGAGAGAGATGGGTGGGGTATATTAAATTTTTGTCTTTTTC